AATTTTTAACTTTTATTTTAAAACTAGAGGCCCAGTGCATGACAATCGTGCACTGGGGGTGGAGGGGTTCTTCAGCCTGGTCTGTGCCTTCTCGCAGTCAGGGAGCCTTTGGGGGGATGTCTGACTGAAAGCTTAGGCCTGGTCCTGCTGCACTCACCAGCCGTGAATCCAGCTTCTGGATGAGGGGCGCTCCCCCTCTGGGAGTGCACTGACCATCAGGGGACAGCTCCTGCGTTAAGCGCCTGCCCCCTGGTAGTCCGTGTGCGTCACAGTGACTGGTTATTCCACCAGTCAGTAGATTTGTATATTAGAGTTTTATTATATAGGACAGCTTCTTGAATACAATCTCAGGTGAATAACTGGTCTCTACTCTAACTTGTGATATAATTTCCTATCAACACACTGTTGTCATAATGGCCTCCAGATTGAATCCAAATTCTCTAAATTCATTATGAAGCTTTTAGAACACACACTACTCACTTCAGGAAAATGCAGACTCCAGCTCCACAGTGAAGTGCATGAAAAATGCAAGCTCCAACCTCTTCCCCATTTACCGTTTCTTGGCAGCAAATGTTCTGAGAACACAGTATGGTCCCACAGAAAAGACAAAGGACAGGGTTCTTTCTCTCATCATCTGCAGACCGTGGGCACCTCAAAAGGGAAGAAAACATTTAGTGTGGTGGAGAAACAAAAAAAGCATGATATATCTAGTTAGCATGAAACATGTTCCCATCACTGGCTGCTTTGCAGCAAAGATAGCTCTTAACAGACAAGGGAACATTTAATTGTATGATTCCTCTTTAATATTTTCCCCTAAGAAGACTTAACAACAAAAAAATCTTCTGATTAATCCATAGTAAGAAAATTTATTATTAAATATAGTATCCTGATAATTCTTATAAAGTTTGACAATTAAATATGCCTTGAGATTGAGATTTATTATAGAATCCAGTCTTCATCTGACATGGCCAATTTATAGTCAACTGCTTCCTCTTGATTCATGTTTAGTCAAGCTTGTGTCCTATGTTGGAGGAATATGACAATATTTTTAAATTATAATTTGCAGTAAGGGTTCAAACACATTTCTCCCCATTTCTTTGAGGTATTGAGATCTTTAGGATTGTAATGAGAGACTGCAGTCTTTGACTTGATGGCCCCTTCCACCTGGAAACACAGAAAGTCTTAGGAATAAAAAAGTGGCCCTGATCGGTTTGGCTCAGTGGATAGAGTGCCGGCCTGTGGACCGAAGGGTTCCAGGTTCGATTCTGGTGAAGGGCATGTACCTTGGTTGCGGGCACATCCCCAATAGGGGGTGTGCAGGAGGCAGTTGATTGATCTTTCTCTCTCATTGATGTTTCTGACTCTCTATCCCTCTCCCTTCTTCTCTGTAAAAAATCAATAAAATATATTTAAAATAAAGGGATAGAGTTGACTTACTTGAACCAAATAGTACTTTGAGATCCGATCATTTTAGATAGTGGCATGGTACAGCCTTGCTATAATACCCCCAAAGAGAGCATCACTTTTTGAATAAAAGTGATAATGGTTTTCTTTTAAAAAGGAGTTTCCCATGCTCCTATCTCTGCTGTATACTGAACATAATGGAAACATCAAGCGTTCCTTAATTCGGGCAGTAAAAAGTAAATGAAACCACAGGAGAGATCCAACAAGGCCCTACTGTCTAATAGGAGCCAAGGGACTCTGCGCATAGGTCTTCCATTCCTGTCTCCTGTAGATGACAGAGCTGTTTCCACTTCCAGGGGGTTGCTCCAGAACGTAATCATAGCCCTTTTTTGATAAAGCCAACATCTTTCACTTTTAGCACAGGATGGCTGAATCTGAGTCACTATAGAGAAAAATAGCTAAAGTATTATAACTGAGCGGCCACATTACACTAAAGCTGGCTCAGTCTTAATGTAAACTAGTGGCGACAATAAAACTGGAAGAAATCATAAGATTTATTTTCATTTTTACTTGAAACCAGTAAGTAGGAATATCATCCAGGAGGATCTTCATTGTGATTAATGACTAACACTCTTTTCAGATCCTCCTAAGAGCCAACAGCATGATAGATACCTTTTAGTGCCTGGGAGAAAATACCTATTCACTGGGCTTTGGGATAGCAATCCAGCCCTAAGATTATGAAAGTCATTGAACTTAAACTGGATGTAATCTTTGAAATCATCTAGCTAATTTTTTGAGGGCTGAGAGACAAAGTGAATCAACCACTTCTTTAGTTGGCTGACCTTAATCTTCATGAGACAAGCATCAAGGAGCCAACACCAACAGCAATTCTATCTGGGAGCAGAGCCTGGACTATAAACTGCCTGAGCCCTGGCTGGGCCCTTTAAACCTCCTGGCTTCATGGCTCAAAGCATTCCTTAGTCATTTTTAGGGCAGATTCTTAAAGTGGGCCAAAGAAAGGCTCGTTAAGCTCTCAAAATGTTCCTAAACAGCAATCCGTTCCTTCAAATGATAGCAAGTTATTTAACACATAATTAAGGACTACTAATCGTCACCTTGTACAGTAACTGGTATCCTTAAAACAAAATTAGAGTTAGTTGTGTTTAGTGGGAGTTGTAATTAATTTAAATTTACTAAGAAGTTTGGCTGCAGGATAATGCTTGGTAACATTACAAAACTCCTAAACGAATTTTGGAATTCTGCAATTTGGGAAAAAGGTGCTTTCTTACTAGAATATCATCCACAAAGTGTTGAATGGGCTTTGACATTCAGGCTGCTGAGATTCTTGCCTTTTAATTACAAGTCACTGGTAGTTTCATGTCATCATTATCAATCTGGTTTGCTATGGCTGGTAGTGTGATGCCAATTGAATGCCAAGGATACATAACCGCATCAATAGGAATTTTGGCTTATTATTTTCAAGACATGATGTGCTGTGATTAAAATATGAAATATTCACATACCAATGGCTAAAGCAGATATGAATATAATGTCTCCACTCAGTGACACTGGTGGTGTACTACTTATGAATTTATGCTACTCAAGTAGTTTACATCATATTATAGCAAGGTAAGTGTAAAACAAAAATTACTATTAACTTTAGAGGATATTATTTTATCATAGAGAATCATGTGTTTAAGCTCATATTGTTCTCTTACAAAAGTAACTAACAGGTAATTCACCCATGGTATTAGTAATGAGTAGAATATAATTTGTTTATTTTGCTTCTCACCAGTCCTAATCATCCAGTGCTTTTTAAAATTTTATTTGAAAGTGATAAGTGAAAAGGAAGAGGAAGATAAAGAAAATTTTGAGATACACTGCTTTGAGTAGTGTTTAATCTGACTGAGTTAGAGGGGCATGGTACCAAAAAAGGCTAAGGGGGTATACTCCCTATTTCCCTTATCCAGGCTTGAACTTGAGTTACAATGCTATTATCTGTTTTACTGTTATAATGGGATTCTATAAAGATTTTGTTTGGGGGAGAAAAGGGTTCTTCAGTGTTTTTTTCAGTGAATCAATGTGGTCACCACACTATAATGCATGTAAAACTGTTTAAAGATAGATGAATAAACAATGATTCTTACAATGGGGGAGGGGAGGTGGAGGGAGAGAGCAGGATAGAGGGAGGGAGGGAGAGAGAGGGAGAGAGTTCTTGTAGCTTTAAAAAAAATTGAGGAGGGATGTCATAGAAGATGGGGGAATAGGGAGCTCCAGGTATCAGTTCCTCTATTGAAACAACTATTGATCTGGCAAGAATTGACTGAAGCAACTATTCTGGATCTCTGGAGTGTAGATGAACACTCGCAGTGCCCAGAGGAGTACTTGACAAAGAAAGAGACTAGTAAATTTCAGCAAATTGTAGCATTTTGTGTAGTGACTAGCATCCCCAGGCCTATAGCAGGTAGCTATGGGGGTGGCTGCCCACAATCCTGGTGGGGCTACTGGATGGGCAATAGGAAACTAATCCTCAAAAACCCGGGTCGTATGTTCTGCACGGCAATTCATTGCCGGGCTGGACACAGAAATTGATCGTTGTTTCAACCACCATAGGCTGAAGTAACTTCTTTGGCAATGATGGTGAAGGGAATTAGACAGAATATTCTTTTTTTCTTCTCTTTTCTGTTCTTATTGGATACAGGAATTTAAGGAAATCTTTGTCAATTCACTGGCTTACCATAGAAATAATGATACAAAGCCTTCAGTAAACACACAACAAGGAATAAAGTCTTTGCAAATAGTGTAGAAAAGTCACTACTAGTGACAATGGCAGCCTTTATCAAGTGACAAGGGAAATTCCTGGGGCAGTGGGGTGGGGCAGATAATCTGATTTCCAGAGTTACTAGATCATAATTTTCAAAATGTCCACTTTTCAAAAAAAATTACAAAGCTAAGAAAGAAAAAAAATCGATGGCCCATTCACAGGAAAAAAAGAAACTGATAGAAATCATTCCTGAGGAAGCCCAGACATGAGGCTTAAAAAACAAAGACTTTAAATTAGCTCTCTTAAATGTGTTAAAAGAGCTGAAGAAAACCAATGACAAAGAACTAAAGGAAATTAGGAAAATATATGAAAAAGTAGAAAATATCAGTAAAAAGAAATTATAAAAAGGTATGTGCCCTTGTCCGGAATCGAACCCAGGACCTTTCAGTCCGCAGGCTGACACTATCCACTGGGCCAAACCGGCTAGGGCAGAATCAGTAAGTTTTAAGGCAGGGCAATTGAAATTACTGAGACAGAGGAGCAGAAAGAAATAAAAATTAAAGAAGTGAAGAAAAAAAAGGAACAGAGCCCTAAGGGATTTATGAGACACCATCAATCAGACCTACATACATATACATTATGGGAGTCCTAGAGACACACACACACACACAAATATTAAAACTAAGCTGGTATCAATTCAAACTAAATTTAGGACATTAACTGTAATCCCTGTGAATACCCAGCAACGTTGCAGGGTGTAAGATCAACACATAATAATTAGTTGTGTTTTAATATACCAGCAATGAACAATACAAACAGGAAATTAAGAAAACAATTTCATTTATAATAGCATCCAAAAGAATAAAATACCTAGAAATAAATTTAACCAAAAAGGTAAAGACTTCACAGTGAAAGCTACAAACATAGCAAAAAGAAATTAAAGGAGACCTAAATACAGGAAGGCATCCATGTTCATGATATGGAGACTACAGAAATGGAAAAGCCAACCTTCAAGTTCATGTGTTACTGCAAGGGATCCCAAATAATTAAAATGAAAAGGAAAAAGCTGAAGGCTCAAATATTACAATTTCAAAACTTACTACAAAACTAATTAAAATGTGTGGTACTAGCATAAGAATAAGACATACAGACCACTGGAGCAGAACTGAGAGTCCAGAAATAAACCCAAACATTTATGATCAATTGATTTTCAATGTGGCTGCCAAAACTATTCAATGGTGGAAAATAGTATCTTGAAAAACAGTGGTGGTGCCAACTGGACCCAGCTGAAAAGAAGAATGAAGCCCTAACCAGTCCGGCTTAGTGGATAGAACGTCGGCCTGTGGACTGAAGGGTCCTGGGTTCAATTCCAGTCAAGGGCACATGCCCAGGTTGTGGGCCGATCCCCAGTGGGGGATGTGCAGGAGGCAGCCCATCAATGATTCTCTCATCACTGATGTTTCTCTCTCTCTCTCCCTCTCCCTTACCCTCTGAAATAAATAAAAATATATAAAAAAAGAAAGAAAAGAAGAATAAAGTTGGACCTCCTACCTTATTTCAAAAATTAACTCAAAATGGATACACATCCTACCCTAGCTGGATTTCTCAGTGGTTAGAATAACAGCCTGCAGTGCAAAGGATCTCGGGTTTGATTCACAGTCAACGGCACAGTACCTTGGCTGTAGGTTCCCCAGCCCTGGTGGGGGTGCAAGCAGGAGGCAACCAATCGATGCATCTCTCTCACATCGATGTCTTTCCCCCGCAACCCCCCGCCCTCTAAAAATCAATGGAAAAATACCCTTGGATGAGGATTAAAAACAAACAAAAAAACACCCTAAATCTAAGCGCTAAAATGATAAACCTATTAGAAAAAAACATAGGAATAAATCTTTATGACTCCAGAATTGGCAATGGATTTTTTAGCACTGACATGAAAAGCCCAAGTAAAAAAGGAAAAAACAGAGAGAAAATGGACTTTTATGAATCAAAGGACATTATGAAAACACAACCTATAGAATGGGATAAGTTATTTGCAAATTAAGAATATGATTAGTGTTTAATGTCCAGAATATATAAAGAACTGTTAACAACTCAACAACAAAACAGTCCGATTATAAAATTGGGAAAGGGCTTAAACATATACAAATGTCCAAGAGGCACATGAAAAGATGTCTGACATCACTGTCATTAAGGAAATGTATATCAAACCACAATGAGCTACTATTTTACACCCACTAGAATGGCTTTAATTTAACAAAACAGAAAGTAGTGTTGGCGAGGATATGGAGAAATAGGAGCCATCGTACATTGCTAGTGGGAATGTAAAATAATACAGTGGAAAACAGTTTAGTGGTTCCTCAAAAAGTTAAACATAGAATTGTCATAATAACCCAGCAATTCCACACCTAAGTAAAATTACTGGAGAAAAATTAAAATACATGTACACACAGAAACTTGTAAATGCATGTTTATAGTAGCATAATTCATAGTAATCAAAAAGGGGACACGATTTTAAATGCCAATTAGTGGATGAATGGATAAAAAAAATTTGAAATATACAATGAAATATTATTTCTCTAAAAAAACAAAAAAGTACTGATACATATTACAACTTGGATGAAACTTGAATACACTATGCTAAGTGAGAGAGGTAAGACACAAAAGGTCATACAGAGTATGATTCCTTTTATATAATACTAGAGGCCTGGTGCACGAAATTTGTGCACTGCGGGGTGGGGGAGGGGGTGTCCCTCAGCCCAGCCTGCACCCTCTCCAATCTTGGACCCCTCAAGGGATATCTGACTGCCCTCCCCTGTGGGATCAGGCCTAAACGGGCAGTCGGACATCCCTCTCACAATCTAGGACTGCTGGCTCCCAACTGCTCACCTGCCTGCCTGATTGCCCCTAATTGCTTCTGCCTGCCAGCCTGATTGCCTCCTAACCACTCCCCTGGCTGATTGATTGACACCTAATTGCCCTCCCCTGCCGGCCCGGTCTCCCCATCTGCCCTCCCCTGCCGGCCTAGTCGCCCCCAACTGCCCTCCCCTGCTGTCCTAATCACCCAACACTGCCCTCCCCTGCAGGCCATCTTGTGGTGGCCATCTCTGACCACATGGGTGTGGCCATCTTGTGTGTTGGAGTGATGGTGAATTTGCATACTGGTCATGACTAATTAGCATATCTGGTCGTGACTGTGAGGGCTTCGTGGCCAATTTGCACATTACCCTTTTATTAGTCATAACTAATTAGCATATCCAGTCATAACTGTGAGGGCTTCATGACCAATTTGCATATTACCCTTTTATTAGTATTATTAGTATAGACTAGAGGCCCAGTGCACAAAATTTGTGCACAGGTAGGGTCCTTAGTGGCTGCTGGCTGCAGGACAGGGCCTCCTTTCATTCCGTGCTGCCCTCTGGTGGTCAGCGCACATCATTGCAAGCGATTGAACTCCCGAGGGGACACTTTACATATTAGGCTTTTATATATATTGACTAGAGGCCCAGTGCATGAAATTCATGTACTGGTAGGATCCCTAGTGGCTGCTGGCTGAGGCCTCCCGCCCTGCCCCCGGACCTCCTTCCCTTCCCCTGGCCACCTGCCAGCCCCAGGGCCTACCTCCCTTCCCCCAGCCGGCCTGTGAGGGGACAATTTGCATACTACACTTTTATTATATAGGATATCCAGAATAGGCAAATCCACAGAGATAGAAAGCAGATTATTGGTTACCAGGGGATTAGAGAAGAGGGGAATGGGGAGTAATTATTTAGTGGATACAAGGTGTTTCTCTGGGGTGATGAGAAAGCTTTGAAACTAGAGAGGTGGTGGTTACATAATATTATAAATATACTAAATGACACAGAATTATACACTTTATCACGATTAATTGCATGTTATGTGGTTTTCACTTAGAGGAACCAGTTAGTGACCCTGAAACAGCAGGAAACAAGAGTATCCCCAAGAAAAGAGAAAATTTTCTTCAAAGGAGGAGCCACTCAGCAGTGGACCTGAAGAAGTGGCTGGTAGCAAGACTAGCAACTCCATGAAAAAGAAAAAGCACCAATAGCTATGCCAGGAAGATTAGAATAGATAGTACCCTGGTGGGTTATAATCACCCACAGTGCCCCATCCCGGTCTCCCAATAAAAACAAATTCCTAAGAGTTGAAAAAATAAAGTTTGCTAGTGGTGGTGTATATATCAACTGTAAGCTTAAACAAATTTTAATTATATATTTCTCTCTCTCTTTTTTTATTGATTTCAGAGAGCAAGGTAGAGGGAGAGAGAGATAGAAACATCAATGATAAGAGAGAATCACTGATTGGCTGCTTTCTGTACGCCTCCCCCCCGCCCCCCACCCCCTGCAATGGAGACTGAGCCTGCAACCTGGGTATGTGCCCTTGACCAGAATTGAACCTGGGACCCTTTAGTCTGCAGGCCAACGCTCTATCCACTGAGCCAAACCGGCTAGAGAAAAATAGATATTTCTTCTTACCTGAAATGAGAAGCTTGATTTAGAAGGCAGCTATAATCATCAGGAAGCTCTATCAAACTATTTCTTTTTCTAGGGTACCTAAAAATACAATTTAAAAGGCAATTTTATTAGGAAATAAGCCCAGATCAAAAATTGACCAATAAAAAAGAAAGTCTTAAAAATAACAAAAGGACCCATACTTGCATTCCATAGTTAATAGATTCCCACTGCTACTAGATTAAAGCCAAATTTCTCAGCCTAGAATTCCAAATCCTTCATCAGCTAGCTTCCTTTCCAAACTCAACTTCCTAAGACTAAATTGTTTCAGCTAGATTTCTATACTATCTAGGAAGGAAACATAAAACAGTGGTTAAGAACACAACCTTTGAAATCAGACAAACCTGGTTACAAATCCTAAATTCTCTGACACCTGATAAGTCACTGAACATAAGCTTATATTTCCTGGTCTGAAGCTGAGGATGAATATATTATATTTTCTTAATCATAAGGCACACCATTGATTTAATAACACTTTTTTGGGGGGAGGGGGACCATAAAAGATTCATGTTGATTTAAGAAATGTTATATGGAGATCAAGAAACATCATGGAGCTGTTGAGGACTCAATAAGACATTGAAATGAAATATAATATACTTAGTACTTGATGCATGTTTGCAAAAGTTATTATACATTATCACCATACTAGATACAACAAAAGCCTTGCTTGCTGCCTTGGGGAAGGTCATCTGAATAACATGAAATTCTCCTCTCAAACTTCAAGCAATCTAAATTCTCTAATTCCTTCTATGTTCAGCTAAAAATTATTTCCTCTGAGAGTAACCTTCATTAAGAATCTTTTACTCTTTAAATTTCTATAGCATTAACAGTATATTCCATATACAGGAGTGGGCAAAAGTAGGTTAAATTACCAGCCATCATTACATAAAAAACAAATCATAAGTAAGGATACAATATAATAATAAGACAAATAATATAAATAAATAATACAATAATCTATCCTATCTAATAAAGAGGGAATATGCTAATTTACTGCCCCGCCCTCAAATATGGTAGTGCCCACAGCCAATAAGGGGGGAATATGCTAATTGACTGGCCCTCCCTCAAAGATGGCGGCGCCCACAGCCACAAGATGGCGGTGCCCAGTCCCCTTAGCCCCGCCAGGGTGGCAGGTGCATGGCAAGGGTGGGCCCACTCCAGGCGGGTCTGGCCTCTCCGCACGCCTGCCTCTGGAGTTCTCCCAGTCCTCTCAGCACCCCAGCCACCCAGGGCTGGCCCAAGGTGCAGGCAAGCCTCAGGAAGCAGCTGCCCAGGGCCACCCGAGGCTCAGGTAACCAGGGCCGGCCGAGCTTGTGCTGCCGGCAGTGTCAGCAGCAGAGGTATGATGGGGTGTCACCTTCTCCTGATAGTTGGGTTGCCTCCTGCCCCTGAGGGCTCCTGGACTGTGAGAGGGGGCAGGCCAGGCTGAGAGACACCCCCTCAGTGCATGAATTTTCATGCACTGAACCTCTAGTCCTATATAATAAAAGGGTAATATGCAAACTGACCCTAACAGCAGAACGACTGGGAATGACTGGTCACTATGACACACACTGACCACCAGGGGGCTGATGCTCAATGCAGGAGTTGCCCGCTGGTGGTCAGTGTGCTCCCACATGAGGGATCTCTGCTCAGCCACAAGCCAGGCTGATGGCTGCCAGTACAGCGGTGGTGGTGGGAGCCTCTCCCGCCTCCTCAGCAGCGCTAAGGATGTCCAACTGCAGCTTAGGCCTGCTCCCCGCTGGCAAGTGGACATTCCCCGAGGGCTGCCGGGCTGCCAGAGGGATGTCTGACTGCCAGCTTGGGCCTGATCTCCCAGGGAGCGGGCCTAAGCCAGCAGGTAGACATCCTCCGAGGGGTCCCAGACTGTGAGAAGGCACAGGCCAAGCTGAGGAACCCCCCCTCCCCGAGTGCACAAATGTTTGTGCACCAGGCCTCTAGTAATATAAATAAAAGCGTAATATGCTAATTAGACCGGACGTCCTTCCGGATGACCTTTCAGATGAAGCCGGGGCTGTGAGGGAAGCGTGAGTCCCGAGTGCCTCCTGGCGGCCGGAGGGAAGCCCGGGTCCCGGGTGCCAGAGGGAAGCAGGTGCCAGCAGCTGGGGAAGGAAAGCCCACTACTGCACAAATTTCGTGCATTGGGCCTCTAGTTAATAAACAATAATACAAGAATAAACTGTGTTTTACGTACTCACAACTATCAACATACTTTTGCCCACCCCTGTATTATATATATATATTTTTTAATATATTTTATTGATTTTTTACAGAGAGGAAGGGCGAGGGAGAGAGAGTTAGAGACATCGATGACAGAGAAACATCCATCAGCCGCCTCCTGCACACCCCCTACTGGGGATGTACCCGCAGCCAAGGTACATGCCCTTGACTGGAATCGAACCTGGGACGCTTCAGTCTGCAGGCCGATGCTCCATTCACTGAGCCAAACCGGCTAGGGCCCCTGTATTATATTTTATCTTACTTATGTCTTGAATTTATGTATATAATTCAATTATAAACTACACATTACAAAACTCTATGTGTTATGTCTTTTAACTCTCCCAGAGTATTTAGTATCATGCTGGGGAAGTAGCAGATGTCTAAAAGGTACACAATGAATTAGAACAAAGGAAAAATGGTATGAGATTAACTAGTCCTGAAATATGTATGTACTCATCTTCTAAACTATTTTCTACTTTAAGATCTTCCTTTTCTTTCTTTTTTTTTTTGTAGCTTCTTGACCCCTTCTGCCATTCATAGGGTCCTTCTGCCCCCCCGCCCCTTTTTTTAGTTTTATTGCTTAAAGTATTACAAAGGGTATTACATATGTCTCCTTTTTTCCCCCACCCTTGACAATCAGATCTTTCTTTTCTTCTTCTTCTTTCTTTTTTAAATATATATTTTATTGATTTTTTACAGAGAGAAAGGGAGAGAGATAGAGAGCTAGAAACATCGATGAGAGAGAAACATCGATCGGCCGCCTCCTGCACATCCCCCACTGGAGATGTGCACGCAACCCAGGTACATGCCCTTGACCGGAATCGAACCTGGGACCTTTCAGTCCGCAGGCCGAAGCTCTATCCACTGAGCAAAACCGGTTTTGGCCAGATCTTTCTTTTCTTGGTGATGTGAATACTACTGCATCTGAGCACAGAAGCTGGATCTGTAATCTCTAAATCACTAAAGCTGGGTTAAAATAGGTTAAATTACCAGCCATCAGCCATCATCATACATAAAAAATAAATGGATAACATGTGCACATTTACAAGGAAGGTAAAAGAGTTCAAAGGGTGAGAAAAGATGTAAAAAGAAAGTGGCAAATGTACATTGTCTCACAGTGTTATGATCTTGGAATGTAAAAAACTTCTTTGGGTTGAATTCCATGGAAGTCACTGATCTGTGTCCCTGAACTACGAAACATGAATATCTGAGCTGAGGAATAATTTCTCTTGATAACTAAACAATTAAGAAATACTAAAAAAGAAAAGTTTTGTTGGGTAATGGTACTGGTGTTAGTATTTAAGACTGAGCAGTTGGGTTTCAACTCCTCTGCTTGCTTATTGATGCAATTCAATTTAAATAAAAATTAGACACTGTACATAATATAAGCTAGGCCCTGGAGGGGATACACAGAAGATAAGCGTGCAGTTTTGGCCCTTGTTGAGTTTACTGCTAGTGATGTAGTGTATTGGCAGGTACACATGCACACACATACCAACAGAAATTAGACGATATATTAGGATAGGCTTTTTGGAGGAGGGGATATTTGAATTAGTCCTTGAGGAAGAAGTGAATTTTGATGGAATCATAACCTGAGGAAGAGAGGAGGGCTAAAGAAGTTTTATTGGGCTGAAGCACCGTCCAGTTCTCCATCAGGAAGAACACTGGTGTTGAGACTATAACTCCACATCTTCCAGTACTGTGACAAAACCTCAGATGCATGGCCAGAAGGACCCATACTTGCAATCCATAATAGAAGGCCACACATCTGAGATTTCATATTGTTGGAATCAGCTTTCTATAAGTTTGGTGTGGCTGAACCAAGAGAGAAGACATATGCAGATTTCCATAGAAATTCTGATGCCATGAAAGATTTTGAGGAGATGAGGAAGGCTGGTATCTTTCAGAGTACAAAGTTATGATCTTGGAATGTAAAAAACTTCTTTGGGTTGAATTCCATGGAAGTTTGTCACTGATCTGTGTCCCTGAACTACGAAACATGAATATCTGAGCTGAGGAATAATTTCTCTTGATAACTAAACAATTAAGAAATACTAAAAAAGAAAAGTTTTGTTGGGTAATCTAAAACCATATAGGTAGGAAGGGAAAAGAGAGGAAACAGTTCTATTTATATCTTTATATATTACTGTATTCTCAAAGGAAAAAAAGTAATTTATAGGAATACTGTCACTACCATCTGATGGCTCCAAGATGCCATTCCCTTCCTTTGCCTTTTTGTTGTTGTTAATCCTCACCGAGGATATTTTTCCATTGATTTTTTTGAGAGAGGGGAAGGGAAGGCGGGGGCGGGTGGGGGCGTGTTCAGGCAGACATTCACACAAATGAGAGAGACACATTGATTGGTTGCCTCCCATGCGCGCCCGACCTGGGGGTAATCGAACCTGTAACCCAGGTATGTGCCCTTGACTCGGAATCAAACCCAAGACCCTTTGATGTGTGGGCAGATGCGATACTCTATCAACTGAGCAACACCAGCCAGGGCACCTCTGCCTTTTAATGGACTTGCACTAGCTTAAGGAAGAGGAGCTGGTGGGCATCAAACTATTTGGGAAAATGACAGTCAGTCCAAGTGAAAAACAAATGTAGGAATAATCTGACTTCTGGCAAAGACCTAAAAGAAATGTACGAAACCAGGTACTTAGTGAGAATGAAGACAGACTAGAAAGCTCAACAAATCAACTAGTTTTGGAAACATAACTTGTAGATGGGGAGAAAAGGACTAAAAAACAAAACCAACCTGACTATGGTGCTTTTTTGCTTCAAGCAGTTCAGTAAGGCAGGATCTGCACACCACCTATATGAGGAGCAAAGAGAAAAAGCAAATAGGTCATCACAACTTTAGTACAATAGTCACCATTGAGTCATTCTTTCCAAATCTTTCTGTTCCTTCTTTCCAAATTCCTTCTTTTAGACTTTTTATTTTATATCTTATCCCCTCTCTCCCCTACTTTTTCTATATCTCCGTATTGATTGTTCCCCTCTTTTTATTAATTTCTTTTTTAAAGGGTTTATCGATCAAGGTCCTACTAGGAAAACAAAAACCATTCTGAGTACTTTAGCAAGAGGGACTTTAATCTCAGGAATTGGTAATAAAAGATAATAGAAGGGCTGAGGAGCCAACCAGGAGACAAAACAAAAAAACAAGGCAACCCAAAGATTAGCCAAAAAATTAGAAAAAAACAGGAAGCCCCCCCCGCCCCCCCCCCCCAGGCTGGAAGAAGAAAAGAAAATAATGTATTACTGAAGCCCCGGGGCTAGGGTCACCAGTGGATTCTGGAGCCACAGCAGCCTTGTCTGGTGGGAACTGGAGCAAGAGAAGAGCTACAGCCACTGCCAGAGATGCCCCACCAGGCAGAGAGAGGCAGTCTAAGGACTCAGGCTTTTCTCATACTCCTGGCTTCTAATATCTTGCCAGTGTCTCCCACTGGCTAAACGCAGGCAGAAGCCAATTGACAAGGAAGGGAGACTGGAAAAACCTGCAGGGGTCAGTCTCCTGCACTACAGAGTATAGGATGAGAAAGGGCTTTGAGGCAAGCAGGGTCAGGAATAGTACAAAGGGCAGGACTTTTTGTTTCAAAGTTTAAGTTTTTATCATTTGACTATCCTAGAATTAGCAAATTCAAAATGTATCAACTCCAAGAATATAAAAGTAAAATTAGTATAACCTACTGTGATTATAATCAACACAAAGCATGATATTGATTTTTTTTCTTTTACCCATTTTGATTCATTTTTAACACACTGAATACCTCGTGAAAAATGAGTAAACACAGAAAAGAACCTAACAAGAGATGAAAGCACAGAAAAGGATGACAAAAGACAGGCAGACATTCACACAAATCCTGACAGGGACATGGAAGGGCAAAAAACATTGATTAAAGAAAAAGGCAGACAGTTAAAGGTAATCATTACCTTTAACTCAACCTGTGGGTTGCAAACAATGAATACACATCCTGCATATCAGATATTTACATTACGATTCATAACAGTAGCAAAATTACAGTTATGAAGTAGCAACGAAAATAATTTTATGGTTGGGGTCACCACAACATGAGGAACTGTATTAAAGGGTCGCGGCATTAGGAAGGTTGAGAACCACTGTAAGGAAGTCATGGAGGTAAGAGTAACACAGTGGAAAATGACTGAAAATGGTGGCAGCAAAGACAAAAGTAAGGAGATTGCAGGTTAGGAGGGTAAAGAGTGATCAGGAAGACCAATAAGTAATGGGGTAGAAAAAAGCTTTTCTGAAAGCAAGACACACTTCTCCCAGGGAAATGTAACTGATACATTTTTTATCTACCAACTGTTTTAGATATAGCCCCCAAATGGGGTTCTTTTGATACTTAATTGTGACTTTATGGCTACTGGTAACATGGTTTTTACTAACACCCTCCCACCCCCCTCACCCCCACCCCGTTTAAAACTGCAATGATGAGACAGTAGCTCTGGAGAAAATAAGTACAGTGAATGGTACTTGGTGGAACAAGTAGAAAGTACATGGTGGAACAAGTAGAAATTCCAGCTGCCCATGGCTCTTAGTCTTACTCCAATTCCTTTAGTGGGTAAATTAGGAATCAACTATATTTTTGCCATCTTCAATCAATGCTAATCAATTTAAAAGCTAGCAAGTAATTTTATCTTTCCTAAACTGTATAATAACTCAACAATGATATTTTGTCCCCACAGTACCTCTGGAGGAAGGGTTTTACAGTATGCCAATATTCCTGGAAAAGTAGGAACAAATTTGTGGGTAAAGATAGATAGGTACAGAGTGCACTGTACTCTCCTTCAGTAGAATCTGCAAGAGAATAAAAATACATTTAATAAGCACATTATTCTTTCCAGGTCAACCTGTTAATAGAGGTTTTTCATTGTTTATGTTCATTATTATATGCTCTCTATACAGAGTGTATTTTGTACTCTATAAAACTCCATAAAAGCGATCCTTTTAAAACAAATCTGATGAAGTCATTCTCCTGATCAGATGTCTCTAATGTTAAATCACCACATGATATGAAATACAAAGTCCTTATTGTGGCATACAGACCCTACATGACCTGCCCCTGGATGCCTCTTAGACCTCATCTCTATCACCCTCCCCTTGCTCATTATGCTTTAGCCACACTCTTCTTTTTATTATTCTTTGACTGTCAAGAAAAGCATTTGCATTTATTACTCCTTCTGCTTAGGAAAACTCTTTCTTCAACTCTCTGTCAGTTCAACCCAGCTCTGTTTTTTCAATGTCTCTCTGCTCAATGTCTCCTCATAGAAAACCCTCCCATTATTATTTTCCTTTGCAGTACTTATCACCATTTGACAAGTTTATCTGTCTATTTATATTTGGTCTCCTCCCAATAAAAGAAATAACTTTACCATATTACAACACTGACTAGACTAGATAAATTAATACATGATTTTTTAAAACTGCAAACAAAAGACTGTAATGGTAAGTACTTGAAAAGTAGCAACCTGTTTTACATAGAATCAGGACAAACCTAGATTCAATAAATCCTACTAAACCGAGTTCAAAACAAAGAAACTGATAGCCAGTAAAGTGGACCTGGGCAGTTTAATCTCAAAGGATAAAAGGAAGAATCTACAAGCAATTTTTGTGACTCTACCAAAATCATACAAGTGCTCTGATTTTTACCTATACAAAGCCACACGGAAGCCTTCTTGACTTTGATCTAGATTTAAAGCAAGTTAAGGAGAAAATGCCTCTGTTAAATATACATGGCCTTGGTTTAATACTGGAGACCTTTCCTAGGAGCATTTCAATTCTTTTATAAAATAGACATGTTCAAAATTTAAACAACTGAGTGTACAGTAAAGTTTTCCTCCTACCTAGCCAAATATTTCTCTTCCCTAAGAGCAACCAATTTTCCAATTTCTTATATATCCCATCTTATCAGTTATATTCTGCATGCAGGCATTTTATAAACTCAAGCACATTAACTATACATAGAAAGGACCCATGAGTAGATTTTGTAGATTGTGAGGCTAATCTGGTTTTCGGTCTGACCTTTAACCTAACACCAGGGCAGGGACACACATGTTCAGAGTGAAAACTGATGAGTGAGGTGGGGAATACTTGAATTAGGAAGTTTTTTTATGCTCTCCCTTTGTATTCTTGAGGCTGAAGGTAAGAAAAAATAGCCTCTCATTTACTACTATGATTTCATTTTTCTACTTACTGGTAAACAGGTCTTCAGGTGGAGTTACTCCAAGTAAATAGTGGAAAAACAATGCAGCACAACGAAGGTAAGGCATGATGCCATTCTTCAGCGAGACCCACAAATACCAGCCAGGAATATCACAGGCAACGCAGCTAAGAGGCAATAATTTCAGAACAGAACAGAATATTGATGAGCTTAAAACTCTAGATTTTAAACAGACCCTCTTTCAAAAACATAGCTAAGCATTTAAATAATTTTTATCCATTTAATTTTTAAACATTTAAAACAAAATATTTAACTAGCTATAGCTTCAGTCTATACATCTAGTAATTTCCTAAAGAAAACCACAGGTGACGTCAGAGGAATGGTAGTGTAAGAGATTCCCTTTGGTTTCTTCCCTTGAAATTTCAACAACTTGAACAGCTATCTCAACAAATGATTCCATGCCCAATGCATAAATACACCAGAGAGATCCACAGGTGTGGATCATCTAAAGATGTGGACAAGTAGAGCAAAAGGGGAAGGCAAAAGGGAGAGGGGCTGAAACGAGCCAGGCATGCTCACAGCGGGGCTCTGTTGAAGAGGGGAGGAATCCAGTGGTGGCTGACATTCCTTTCAGCCAGGAGGAGACTCAGTGGGCAGAAGTGAGCTAAACAAGCTGCAGCTGAGCTGAGAGACCTAAGCAAAGACACATATAGTACATGGTAGTATGGCCGTGATTATCAAGCGGTTGGCATTTCAGATGGAGAAACAAAGCCACGGAGTTTGGCCACCTTTCCTTAGTCTCCCCGAGCAGTGGTTGCCAACCTTTCGGACCTCATGGACCACCAGTGGTCTGCAGACCAGCAGTTGGCGACCACTGTCCCAGAGCATGCCTCCCTTTGCCTTTGGTATTTATTGGGTTGCATAGCACATTATCTGCGAGCCTGAGAACTAGCACTACAAAGTAATCCCATTTTTTTCTGAGTGAAAGGTGCACTCTGTGACCGGTCCCGGGGAGAGGGAACAAGGGGAACCCTGTGGAGGCCCAATGCATTGCAGCTACACAGCAGCCAGAGACAGTGGTGGTGGGTTGACACTGTGGTTTCACAGAGCTAATAAAAAAACTAGTGATTCAGCGCCACCAACTGGAAAAGAATAGAAAGACCTCTTTATATTAATCTTGAAGTGCCACTCACACATAAATGTCTAGACAGGAAGGAACCCATCAAATACCATGAATAACCAAGGTAGTGAGGCAGATAGAAAATGAAAAATCTCCAGAAAACAGACTTAAAGACACAGAAACCTGTGACATAAATGACAGAAAATTCAAGATTGCAGTTCTGAAAATACTCAGTGAGATGTGAGAAAATACAGCAATTTAGAAAACAACTTAATGAACAAAACTAGTACTTTACCAAAGAGATTGAAACTTTAAAAAAGAACCAAACAGAAATACTGGAGATGAAGAATTATATAAAATAGATCAAGAATAAACTAGTGCCCTAGTTGGTTTGGCTCAGTGGATAGAGCGTCGGCCTGTGGACTGAAGGGTTCCAAGTTCAATTCCGGTCAAGGGCATATGCCCGGGTTGTGGGCTTGATCCCCAGTGGGGTGTGTACTGGAGGCAGTCGATCAGTGATTCTCTCTCATCATTGCTGTTTCTATCTCTCTTTCTCTCCCTCTCCCTTCCTCTCTGAAATCAATAAAATATGTTTTTTTAAAAAAAGAATAAACTAGTGAGCACAGAAAATAGAGCAAACCAAACAGAGGAAAGAATCTGTGACATAGAAATCTAGAAATGACAGAAAGGAAGAGAGTGATGTGAGCATAAAGAAAAAGAAAAAAAGACCTCTATAAGAACTATCTGACTCTATATATTTAAAAGACTAAGCAACCGTTACAACCGAAAAACCGGTTGACCAGTAGCTATGACATGCACTGACCACCAGGAGGCTGACACTAAACACAGGAGCTGCCCCCTGGTGGTCAGTATGCTCCCACAGCCAACCTCCTGTGGCCCCTCCCCCTCAGCCGGCCAACCTCCATGGTCCCTTCCCCTGGCCGGCCAACCTCCCCAAATCCTTCCCCCCAGCCAGTCCCCCACTGACCACCAGGGGGCTGACACTAAACACAGGAGCTGCCCCCTGGTGGTCAGTATGCTCCCACAGCCAACCTCCTGTGGCCCCTCCCCCTCAGCTGGACAACCTCCATGGTCCCTTCCCCTGGCCGGCCAACCTCCCCAAATCCTTGCCCCCAGTCAGTCCCCCATAGGCCTTGATTGCCAGCCAGGCTGAGGAACCCCACCCATGCATGAATTCGTGCACTGGGCCTCTAGTATAAGAATAATAAGCATACCAGAAAGAGAGGGAGAAAGGGAAGAGAGCCCATTCAAACAAATAGTTGATGAAAATTTATCAAACCTATGAAAAGAACTAGATCCCCACTTCCAAGCAGTAAACCAAATACCTAGTTACCTCAATTCAAAGAGGCCTTCTCTAAGTCACATTGTATTAAAACTTAAAAATTAATGACAAAGAAAGAATTTTCAAGGCAGTCAGGGAAAAGAAAGTAACCTATAAAGGAAAGCCCACTAGGTTATCATTGGACTCCTCAGCAAACCAAAAAAGAGTGGAACCAAATATTCAAACTACTGAGAGAAATATTATCCACCAATAATAATATATCCAGAAAACTTATCCTTTAAATATGAAGAAAAAATAAACACTTTTCCAGACATACAGAAGCTGAGGGAATTCATTGCCAAAAGACCTATATTGCAAGAAATACTCAAGGGAGGTTTTTCTACCTGAAACAAAGAACAAAAGGTCACAGTCCAGCTAGTGTGGCTCAGTAGTTGAGCAATGACCTATGAACCAGGAGGTCAAAGTTCAATTCCTGGTCAGGGCACATGTCCGAGTTGCAGGCTCAATCCCCAGAGGGGGGCATGCAGGAGGCAGCTGATCAATGATTCTCTCTCATCACTGTTGTTTCTATCGCTCTGTCCCTCTTCCTCTTAGAAATCAATAAAAAATTTTTTTTTTAAAAAAGAAGTATGTCTTCTTGATACAGTGTCCCCATTATCATTATAAAATGTTCAACTTTGTCTTGTTACCTTTATTATCTTGAAATCTATTTCATCAGATATAAATATGGCTAAACCTGCATTTCTGTCTATGCTATTTGCTAAAGAATCATTTTCCACCTTTTCAATTAGAATCTAGATGCGTCTTTGCAGCTTAGATGTGTCTCCTGAAGGCAGCATATGGTGGGTTTTGTTTACTGATCCACTCTGCTAATCTTTGCTTCTTTTTTGGTAAATTCAGCCCATTTACATTTAGGGTAATTACTGATGTGTTCCTGGTCCCCCAATGGGACTGGGAATTGAACCATGACCTCCTGGTTCATAGGTCAACACTTAACACCACTGAGCCACCGTGGCTGGGCAACAGTTTTGTTTTCTTTAATATTTGTATGTATATTTTTATTTACTTTTTAATCTTTTTTATTATTTTTAAAAATTAAATCTTTATTGTTCAGATTATTACATTTGTTCCTCTTTCCCCCCCCATAACTCCCCTCCTCCCAGTTCCCATCACACCCCCGTCCTCACTCCCCACCCACTGTCCTCATCCGTAGGCGCACGATTTTTGTCCAGTCTCTTCCCGTATCCTGCACACCCCTTTCCCCTCCAAGAATAGTCAGTCCACTCCCTTTCTATGCCCTGATTCTATTATCATCACCAGTTCATTCTGTTCATCAGATTATTTATTCACTTGGTTTTTAGATTTACTTGTTGATAGATCTGTATCTGTTGTTCATAGTTCGTATCTTTACCTTTTTCTTCTTCTTCCTCTTCTTAAAGGATAACTTTAAGCATTTCATATAATACCAGTCTAGTG